CCGTCGATTCGCCGTCAGGAAGCCGACGGCTCGCAATAGCACGTGGAACCTTCTACGAGGAGCGCGGCGAACGATGACGGTGATCCCGGAGGATCAGAGTGCGGTCCACGAGGAACCGTCGTAATGGCCGGTCTCGCGGTGGCGGAGGACCCGAGTGATCGACCGGGGTGACATCGCTCGGGATCATCGAGAGAGGATCAACCGAGATGAGGAGGAGCAAATCGGGGGGGAGCGTCATCGAGGACATATGCGGGTGTTCCGCTCTGTCGTCGATCGTCCAAAAGAAAGATCTAAACTCCACCTCAGGTAAGCCTAATAGGAAAAAACTTACGAAGTAAGTTTTGGACCGGAAATATAAATCCGCTTCCGTGGAGCGTGTATCATTAGATGCGAGATTTCCGTATGGAATTCCTGAAGTTTCGATCTGTTCGACACCTCTCTCGCGAAATATCACATGTCGTTTTTCCGATTTTCAACGATCGAGGTATTTGCCCGATTAATGTCCATTTCTATCAACGCAGGTTAATTTTAATCTTGGTTTACGTGTCTTCTTTTCCTAGTTCTAAGAGTTAGAAAAAGATAGAAAGTATAAGTTAAACCGTGATTAAAGTTAATCTGGTAGAAATGGGCATAAATGTCACATCGTTAAAGTTCTCAACGAGCGAATGTAAAATACTAAAAATGCACCGACTGCTCTATATATGTATTATATATAATGTAACATTCCGTACGCGAATCTATCGGTACCGGCGCGGGCGGGTCTTCCAAAGTTCATCCACGGTTTGCGATTCGATCGATCGTCACGCACGTGTTCTCCGGACGACGGAAAATCCCCCGCGATCAATGACGTGCTCGCGGCGCGCAACCTTGAACGAGAAAAGCTACCACTGATCGTTTCCTCCTTCTCGCAGTGAGGAAGACTCTTAGAAACACTTCCGGCGTCTGGTTTCCGGATACCAGAGAGATCCTGCTTTTATCGGATTTGTTCCCACGTTTCTCCGCCTCGTTCTTTTCTCTTTTTGTATGAGTTACCCTATTTATCTCCATCATCACGCTTTCTTCACATCTCCTCGAACCAACGAATGCTTTTTTTCTTGTTGCTTTCAACGATTACCACGTTGTTTTGCCTTTCGCCGTTTTCTCCCTTCGGAGAAGACGCATATTGCCAATTTCATTTTTATTACTGAATGTACTGTTAATCGAGATAAACTTAATAGTTGAGATAAAAGGAGCTACGTTTTCGTACGATAAAGTTAATAGTCGCCATCAAAAAGGTGTTACGAAAGTTGCGCCGTCACTCGAAAACGAATGGACGTCGTATTTACTCCGCTCTCGTTATTGCCCCGATTCTAATTGAATTGATCCTAGATTCTTCGATCTTTCTACACTTTCGCCGATTCAGCGATACGATAAATCGCGTCTTACCCCCATCGGGATACGTATCGTCACTTCGGGCACAATAAAAGGAACTTCCGTGAAGAAAGATCCTGAAATCGCGATTGATGCTGACAATCGGCGCACAGCGATATTCCCGCCTCTTCTCCACTTTTCTTCTCTTCTTTCCCGTTTCTACGTGCTCTGCCCCCTCCATTGGTTCACCAGCAGTCACCAGCTGGTTCGTTTCTGACTGCATGGACCCCGACCTTTCGTATAGAAGCCAGTTTTGAATCTCCGAAGCCAGTCGGCAGCCAGTGGCGCTTACGTTTCCTCTCGATCGAGGTCCTCCCCTCCGATTTCTCTCGTTCGCCTTTCGTCTCTCTTTCGTCGCCCCGGTCTCTCACTTTTCCCGCGCGATTTCTTCGTGTGTGATATATCGGCGCATACATCATCCAAGGATTCCGAGCGTAGCGAGCAGCATAAGTTACGTGACTTCGAAGCCGTGCCGTGTCAACAAGCATCGGTCGGGCCTGCCTCCTTAGTCGCCCCACTACTTACCTCGGCGGGGTGCCGCTTGCGGTCCCCTCGTCTGGACCAGGGGCCCTCGGGGCCCCCGGCAAGTGTAAGACAGTGTTTCCATTCACTGCGAAGCGGCAGCAAGGAAAGCAACGACGGAGACGTTTTTCCTTGATAAACTGTGTTAAACGGTGAATTAACGGTGTAATTAATGCGCAAATGATTAAGGGCCGGTTGTTCCAACCTGTTGGTAAGCTAACTAATAGTTAAATCATATGTCTATCTTTGTCTAATGTAAAGGATAAACAAAGACATATATGATTTAACTATTAGTTAGTTTACCAACAGGTTGGAACAATCGGGCCTTAATAGTGATTTGCAATTCGTGGCGACCTCGTGAGACTCAAGTTTTTAATCTCGAGTTGCCTTCCGCGTTAAAAGAAGATAAAGCGGTACTTTAATCTCGAGATAACGACAATTTTACGGCGCAAAAATGTGATGGAAAACGTGAAGGAGTAATAATGTGAATGTGAGAAAGCGTAAATAAACTCGCGGCGGAGTTTTATTGAAATCGAGAAGGCTGTCCGGGGAAAAGAGTCTTGTGTTCCGGAAGGGAGTACGAAGCTGAATGTCGTTATCATGGTTTTCTTCGGAAGAAAAGAGAAGGTGGAGGATCGGCGATTGTTGGCGAGCATGGACGCCATGAACGGCACGATTATCCATCAAATCGACAACGGTAAAGTTTGTCTGTTGTCGCGCGATGGAACATCGATGCGCGAAGTCATAGATTAGAATGGTTTCTCGCGCGCGTAATCAACGAAAGCGACGTTTCCGGCGAAATTGTCGTCACGGCTTTCTCGAAATTAAAGGGAAATATTTCCTCACTTTACGTGTATACAAGTACGCATTCTTGATAGCGAAGCACAATTTCCTCCGAACATCCGGTGGGAGCGAGTGCAAATATTATCGCCGGCCGCATATTTTTAATTCCTTCCCTTCCCACCCTTTCCCGCCCGCGTTTGCTATTCCCTTTTATTTTAACGTCGACCGTGGTGTAACGATTACGCCTTTCGGTTAATGACTTTCAACTGTAAAATTCATCAGCGCGTATAGCAATACACTTCGGAATTGCGTTTAATGAGCTAATTAAATTGGTAATATTGTTGAGAAAGAGAGTGAGAAAGAAAGAAAGGCGCAAGAACGGCGTAGTAAGAAAATAATCAATTTATAATGACATAATTTGTATAAATAATTGTATATATAATTTTTTATATATTTTCGTAATTATAACTACTGTTATAATTATTATATTATAGGTATATACCATAGACGTATCTATGGTATATACATATATATTTTAATGTATTACATGCTTTATTGCTTTTATATTATAACACGATGTCGACGCTAAAGCAACAGACGTAAAAAATATATTCACTCAATTCGTGAGCGTAAACCGGTAGCGTATTCCGTGCGCGTTGGGTCTCTCAGCCATGCTTCAATGCTTTATAATGGCATGCATTTATCATTCATATGCTGCATAGTTGGCGCAGGTTATTATTACATAGTCAAGTGGCTTTTCATCGAATAGTCGTGAGTTCCAAACGCGTTACCGGAGCATAATCAATTGACAAGCCGTGCACAGCCGTCATGAAACATCCACAGCCGTGTTTCTAAAACTGCGAACGAGGTGTAAATTTTCTAGATATATTTTTGTTTCGTTCGTTTGTCGTAGAGGTGATAATATTCAAACGGATTTAAAGGAGTAGCAGAAATATCGCGATCGATAATATCGAACCGCCAACAGGTGTAACTCTACTTAAATGGAACGTGATAATAATGCCTAAGAGGCCTTGGGGAGGCGTAACGACTTAAAGCCACGAATAGAGCTGACGTTAATTGAACTCTCTTGGATATATTATTTAACAACTTTGCGCTCCGCGAGACCCTTGAGCTTATTCGAAGTAAGATCAACCCCGTTATGCACACTCGCGCACTACTTCTAGTTTCTCATTAAAGCGTCCGCCTATAATTTCTCAACTCCCAAGAAAAACTTATAAATTATTATTCTCACTCTCTTTCTAATTATGCGCTGAATTGCAAAACTTCTTTATTCGCGTCAATACAATAAACATTTTTTGTTAGTATCGGTATCGGTATTCAATTCTGAATGTTGTTCAGAACTCTTCTGAGCTCTCGCGCGTATTGTTCATTTTGTAAATTTATTTCGATTTCGTTTAGCTTCACTTCATTTCGCGCTCGTCAAGAGAAAGCGATAAACAGTCGTAGAAAAAATGTTTGAGGCTTAGGTCGAGGGAGATCTCGCGTGACAGGCCACCTGTAGCTGACGATATTGATCAGGCCGAAAGATGGGCCACGCCCGGGTTCACTCTCGCGTCGCTACGACCCCCGTGTTGGCATCCCACTTCTCCCTCGTCACCCTCTTCCAGCCTCTCTTCCTCTCTATTTCTCTTTCTTTCCACTTGCTGCCATCGCGATCACATGCCGCATGCCGCATATGCCGCATACGGCCGATGTGCTCTTCCCGGCACCGGTGAATCCGCAGCTGATTATGAACAAGTGCGTCGTTACTGTTCCAGCCGCGTTCATGCACGTGCGCGACAACATCGAGGAGCTGGGCAAAGTCGCCGACGACACGGATCTGCTGTTCCTGAAGGGCCTCCTCGACAGCCCGGTCGTCACGTCTCTCGTAAAGGTGAGTGATCCTTATCTCAGAATTGAATCGCGGTCCGAGAGATCGTTCCACGAGATTACCCGAATGTGCTTGGATCTCCGTTGACTTCTTTGACTTTTTATTCGTCAGTAGATTAGGTATGAGAAACACCACAAAAAACATCTTATCATTGGCGTTGGATTTTTTAATGTAAAAGAATGTGAAAAAAGAATTGAATTTTTCTTTTTTTAGACGTGAAAGGGTTCCTCTCTTTCGCTTTTAATTTCTCGTTTTCATCGTTCGGCGTCGAATACGAGAAATTCTAACGGGAAACGACATCGATTCGCAATTTTCTTCACTTTGAACGGGTCGTAAAAGCGCGAATGGATATCATTCCAGTCTATACACATCGCGCGCACAGCGTCGAACGCGTGTCCGTGTGCTCATCAAACGGTGTTTACTATGATCGTGGAAATTTATGAGGGACCTGTCTGCGGTTCTTACCCATCGATGATATTTCTCTGATTATGTCGTTGAATGGAAAAAAAATAGAAACGTTCGCTCAAACGTTCTGGCCGTCTGCCCGAACAATCCGTGTCGTTGAACCGTCCTGCGTGAACGTTGATCGATCATTTATAGTGATAAACGCGTGATCACGACCGAAATAAACTCGGTTAAATCAGGAAATATTTTTGTGTACGGCTACGGTGTATAGTGCACGATTCCTGCGGAGAGAAAATGTGCAGTTCTCTAATTTCTAAATATAGTTCGAAATCTAGGCTTGTGCAGCCTCCACGAGGAACGGGGCAGTAACTTACCGTGGAGCAGTAACGTTTCGATCGTTTATACTTAACGCCGGTGGTACTCTCACTTTAACACAACACAGTAATACATAAATTTAACTTGATATATTTACTCGCTGTGCGTCCAAAGAATATCCTCACCGATGCAATACCTACTCTTGTAGAAGGACGAAACTTATTCTATTGAAATTCGGGGAGAGTAGCCTACTCTCCAAACTAAAATCTATATAGTTCTAAAACCTTTTTATAATATCCTCTGAGTTAAATATCGCTTTTGTAAACTCGGCACGTCAGATAATCCCGAATTTCAATAAAATAAGTTTCGTCCTTCTACAATTTTAGCTTACAATTAGGAGCGCGGATAGTATCAGTCCGCTGGAATCCGGTCGAGCCGCGCGCTCTTCCGGCGCGGGTCGCGGCGGAACGGAGAGCTCGTTCGTCACTCAGAATGGGGGAAAAAAAAGAGGGAATTTCGGGAACCTAGAGCGTGCCAGAACGTTAATTTTATTTCTCTCCCTTGCCTCCTCTACGTGCCTTCACGTACCTGCATCACGCGCTCGAAACATCCGCGCGACACCCACGCTATTTCGGTCGCGACACACTTCCCGCGATCGCGAAGAGAATACCGGCCTTCGATGAGAATATTAGCGGCGATAGGCTAGGAAAAACATCGCATGCGTTCCCACTGTTCGGCTTCTTGATTGATTGGACTTTTTCCCCTTTTTCAAGGCAATATTTCATATTGAATGAGAGAGTCTTTTCATTCTCCCTGTTCGACCGCATACGCGCGTTTTCCCCCTCGTCCGAGAGAGTCGGGGACCTACATTCCGATAATTTTCTACCGGCCACAGGTAGAACACGTGCACCGCAGCAGGTAAAGAATGTCCGGTGTCAAGAAGCCGTTAAAGAGTCAGCTCACGTCTCCCGCCTTTTACGCCGAATTGAGCCAACAGTGGAAAGTGCTGACGATCACGACGGGACGTCTTTGCGGAAAAGCCAAAGTCGCAAAATCGAGAAACGTCGAGAGGACGTCCAATTGAGATAATCCGATCATTTGAGAAACGAGGTGGCAGAGAGAGAGAGAGAGAGAGAGAGAGAGAGAGAGAGAGAGAGAAAGGAGAAAGGAGAGAATCCTCGTCAGACTCTCGATTGCTGATAATCACCTGGATGAGGCAATTCACTGCATCATCCCGCAGGAAACGTTACAATCCCGCGTGCGAGATGCTGCGAGGCGCGGGAGGGGGAGATTGAGATTTACAGTCGCTCAATTGGCGAAATTGCCATCTTTCTCTCCGTAATAATAATTACGGATAATTGGCTGCGACCCCGCGGGACCTCTTGATTGAGCGTAGGTCACATCAGGCGCCTGCGAGCGGAGTCATCGCTCGCGCGCGCCGTGCAGAAATCCCAGGCGCGAGCATGCGTGCCCCGACGGCAATATGTTTTGTAAGTCCGTAGCGTGTACGACGAGACGATATGTAATTTCAGTCGGTGAGTCGGCTTTGTGATCGCGCACGGGAGGAAGTGGGAGAAACACACACGCGACATGCGTGTCGATCCGCCTGTGTGGGTGACAGGACTGTACGTTGAATTCCGCCGTGGCTCTTATCAGATGCATACATATTTTCTTTTTTTTTTTTTATCTCGCACTTACCTCGGGTGAAGGTTCTCCCGCATGACCGCTACTCTAACTCGCGCGTAGAGATATCATTGACGAAAGACGCTTCTCTTTTCTTGTTGCGAATACAAACAGTAGCGAAATTGATTTCGCTGATCGTTGCGTGTTCAATTGCTGGACGCGCAAGTTACGTCACTCGGCTTGACGTTGCTCGTAACTCGACTCGTGCAAACTGCCGAGTCCTCAAAACGGTGACACATTTAATAACGGAGCGGTTCAAGTGTTCCCGGTTGTTAAATGACTATGCAGCTCTTGGGCAATAATGGGAGCAATTTGTTTTCACAATTGGAGTATCTTTACGACTTGGTCGAAAAAACATTTTTTTTCTACCTATCGTAGAATCTAGAAGTGACTAATTTGCACCAAACAGGGGTTTCTTTTTCGTTTACAAAACAAACAATCGGAACGAGGTTCTTCATTGTGAGCTTCCACCTGTCCCACTATCTTAAACCACTTTCGAGAAATGTCAAATTATACATTGAAAGAGGACATTGACGTCGTTTCGATTGCAGCAATCCTCTGCAAACAGGATCACTCGTAAAGACTCGTAAACGTGACAAATGCCTCACTTGTGTCAACAGCGTTTTCTCTATCGAAAGCGGTAAATATTGCGGACGTTCCATATTCATCTTTTGCATGTTTTTTCATGGTAATAAAAAAAGAGGAATGTACGTTTGTTTTACGGTTTATCTCCGAATTCCGAAAAATTTCAGGGAGAAGGTTTGACTTTTGGATCAACTCCGAAGGCTTGAATTATAAAATTGCGTCAAGTATGTCATATTCTTCATTTAATTTAAAATAGACCTGATAGAATCATAATTTACGGACTCGGATGAGAACGAGAAAGGCGCGATAAACAATAGAGTCAACGAGGAGTATGCAAAGTGTCCGAGAGAGACGGAGCCTGGAGCGTCCGCAAAGACGCACGATTTCGCTTCGTTTTGCGCCGACCTTGAAACAGTGGCACCCGGACGAGAGAGATACGCTCCTGGAGCGAACGTAGCGGAGTGCATGCCAGGCCAGGAGAAGGAAGGGCCCCCACCTGTTTCAGAAACGGCAGGCGACTCGCCTGAACGGGCTGCCTATGCGGAGGGAGGCCAGGCGACGTCAGTAGGCGCGGCAGACTTTTCTGACTTGCTGCTTACTACGCGAGAGTGTCGCGCGTACGTTACCAACTCCGAGAGCACCACCCTCGTCAGCATCCTACTGTAGTCGCTTCTGCCGCCCCGTGCGACAGACGATCTGGTTTCCCTCCGTTCGAGAGAGCCAGGCTCTCCCTCGCCGATCGATACCACCGCGGGGGCACCGACCACGACCAGTTAGAACCGCTTAGCTTCACCAGTTCGGACGGAGCACCGCGTCGCGACTCTTTCTCCAGGTGAGACGTCACTCCTGAGGAACGCGGGAAGCATATAGTTCGTAAGAGAGACGTCTGTCGAGGTGGACGGAAGATTATCATCATCATCATTATCCTCAATTTCACGTTGCTCTGCTTCGCGAGTGGGACGTGAGCCGTTTGCCGAGAGGTGCGACTGAAGAAACACGAAAGTACCGTTAGTGGAGCGATTGGGAAAGGGTTCGGACGTGCGATAACGACGGGGTAGCCGGGAGAGAATCGGCGGGATCGTATATGGCTCTAGCGATCGTCAAAGCGGATTGAGATTAACTTGATAGAAAAAGTGAAAACGTAAGAGGCTCGACGGGTTCGACTCGCCTGATGATACTCGGGAGAGAAACGTGGGGACTCTCTCGCTCGCGCTTTGCCGTAATTCGCGCGGCAAGGTGCGGCCTTTTTTGCGCGAAGATCGCTCTCCCGGTCGCCCCGTTCTCTCGAGGAGTGAAACGAATTCCGAGCGATTCGTCTCGCAAAAGGATCTTTGCAGCGAAGCGGATAAATAAATGCCGCGGCTTTATAGTCCATAAACGCAAGTGCGGGGTGCGGCGCGTCTCGGACGCAGCCTCCGGTAAATCTCGCGTCCCTCCCGACGCAATCGGATACAACGCTCGTTGTGCGCGAGAGTCCGTGCGGAGTAAACGGGACGAGAAAACGACCGCGGCCGGACTTGATGGTCCGCGACGAAGTGCGTCGATAAATCTCGCGCGACGGACGTCGATTTACGGATTTTCGCGTCTGAACTACACGCGAGCACGTGGGCGAGGCGCGTTGAGCAAACAGATCGAACAAATACGGGAAACTGTAAAATGTCCGGAGGAAGAGTCGCAAGTCCTCGTAGCCCGTTAATCATCGGGAGAAATTGTCCGCAACGCGTGTCGCGAGAGCACGTTATACGATGAGGAAATTCTCTCGCCTGACCGCGATAAAACGCGAGTGTAGTAATCGCGTATAAGAATCGTCGCGGGAGTTTGCGATTCCCGAGAGGAAATAATTAAACGGTGAATCATCGTTCTACGGCGACAATCTACATTTACTCGTCACCGTGCACGACAATCGCAGAGTGATCGAGGAAAGATTTGCGGGCTTACGTCGAACGTTTTTCGTTTATTTTTGTATCATCATTATTATCATTAGCGTTACAGTCCTGCGTGAGTCTTGGTTTCCTCATTGATTTCTTTGAGGTTTGCAATTTTTATGAGAAGGGATTGTAAGCCCGTTGCTTATACGTCCCAAATTTCTCTTTTTAGATCTCGTCGTATTTCAAAGAAGTGATACATTCAAGCTGAATTTGTCAAAGGAATCAGGTCATTAAGACCTGTATATTCGTCTGTATATTCGAAAATGCGCCATCTCAAACGCGTCGTCGAACGAGTCGGCATGACCTACTTTCCCAATTACTTCATTGTAAACTCTGAACCGCACCGGGTAGGGTGGGACTAAATGTCTTTCGTGTCGATTAAATTAACTCTAATCCGATTGAACTCAATCAGAGTTTACATCACTGCATGTCACTGATCATTAACGCGTTAGCATTTTTTTCCCGTAATTCGTAAATTCTTACACAGCTCTTTTATGTTTGAAGAAATTTGTTGATTTAACGGTACATTGAACCAATAAATTTCTTTTTTCCATCTGACTGATTATTATTATATTTTCGCGGGTTATAAATAATGTAGAAATAATTACGAATCTACAGGCAGGGCGAAACAGAATAAAATAATGAAAAAAGAAATAAAATCAGAAAAGCGTCGCTCGAACGTAACGCGACTGGAAAAGAAACGTTATCATAGGTTGAAATTATCAACAAAACGCGCCAGCGTGAAAGAGATAGGGTTGCGGAGGAGTCACATTTCTAAGGCCCGTGAGAAACCAGTTTTTAACAGGTCCCGATTTGAAGTCCACTCTCTTCTTGTCTGCGTGCCAGGTGCAGGAGCGTCTCGAAGACCCGCCGGTGCCCGTGGAGCCGATATGCTCGTCCGTCTGTGACATCGTCGACGAGGTGTGCCACGCATTCCGAGCCTCCAGGAACCCGCACGCCAGGGAGTTGGTGAATCTTCTCGGCAACGCTTATCTGAGAGCACTCCTCGAGACGCACGACGCGATCGTGGAACGCAGGGAAACGCCTTCCACATCGGCCGATCCGCTCGTGTTGACGATGCCGACGAACAAGAGGGAGGAGATGCCTATCAGGGTGGTCGGCCTTCGGAGGCAACCGGACGAACCCCTGGTAAGTCCAGACGATATAGGAATAAACTCTCCAGCAAAATAAATAATTGTATCATTATTTATTATTTAGATAGAAGACAGCCCATCAATTCTAAGTCTCGATGTAATAGTCTCTCTCCATTTAAAAGTTCCTCTCCGTTCTTTTTTAAAACAACGAACATTCATTTTCTTCTTTCAAAATAATGTAGTTACTGTAAACATTTAACAAGAAAAATATTCGACACGCGAGAAACTAAATTTAGTATTATCTAAGGCGAGATTGAAAAGGTTATCGCGAAAGAAGCTCTTAGCCCACCAGCTATACGCTCGAAGAAAAGACAAAGATGCCACTTGCAGTTCGTAAATAAGTACGAACGTTTATTTCTCCGGCATGCCATGTGTTTCGCCGATTTTCTGGTACTGCGCGCTTCTTTAAGATACTCCAACGCGCCGAGATATGGCTAGCGATTTTTAACGTTGTCGCTTAAGGCTTTATTAACCGACATTGGGAACTACTGTAATCTCGCAAACAAAATGCGCTTTATTTAATTCGACGTAGCTAAACAAGGGTGAGACACTTTTGTTATTTCCGTGTTCGTATTTTTCCAGGGTCTGACAGTGCAGGTAGATGAATCTGGCAATATGATCATCGCCAGGATCCTCGGTGGCAGCACGGCGGCTCGTCAAGAGCTTTTGAAAACGGGCGAGGTGATACTCGAGGTCAACGGCAAGAGAGTTCGAAATCCCGAGGAACTTCAACAGGCGATCCAGGACGCCAAGGAGAATCTATCCTTGAAAGTGGCTCCAGGTATCGCTTCGGACGCGAATCGACCTCTCAAGTCCACGGTGAGTGCTATAGGCTGTTTTTCCACCTCGATGCCTCTGTTAACAACTCGTGTTCTCATTCCCCTTTCTTATGGCGCTCGTTCGGGCGCGGAGAACACGAAGTTGGCGTCGTAATCGCCGAGAAAATTCATAACAATCTTATCGAACCGCCTTTGATTTGATTTGTCGTTGTAGTGTTACATGAGGGCTCTCTTCGACTACGATCCCTCGGACGACACGCTTCTGCCCTGCCGGGAGATCGGTCTGCCTTTCCAGAAGGGCGACATCCTCCAGATCGTCGACCAGGCGGATCCGAACTGGTGGCAGGCGCGAAGAGTGGAGGGTGAGGGTCTCGGATCGCCCGGGCTGATACCCTCGCTGGAGTTAGAAGAGCGCAGAAAGGCGTTCGTGCCGCCCGAGGCCGATTTTGTTCACAAGATCAGCATCTGCGGCACCAGAATATCCAAGAAGAAGAAGAGAAAGATGTACCAGTCCAAGTCGAACGGCGAGTTTGACAGTGCCGAGTTGCTTCTCTACGAGGAGGTCGCTCGGATGCCGCCGTTTCGACGCAAGACCTTGGCTCTGGTCGGTCCACGCGGCGTAGGTCGACGAACCCTGAAAAACAGGCTAATCAACAGTGATCCCGAAAAGTTCGGCACTATCGTACCCTGTAAGAAAACCTCGATTCGCTTTTCATTGATCAAGGTAGATATCATTGATTATCATACTGAGCGAGCGTGATTTGTTCGTAGACACCTCGAGACCGCCTAGAGTCCTCGAAGAGGACGGCAAGAGTTACTGGTTCACCGATCGCGAGTCCATGGAGACCGACATTAGGGAACACAGGTTCCTGGAGCACGGTGAACACGGCGGGCATTTGTACGGCACGAAACTGGACTCGGTGCGGGAACTGATAAGGGCCGGCAAGATGTGCGTGCTGGACTGCAGTCCGGCCGCGCTCAAAATTCTCCATAACAGCACGGAGTTTATGCCTTACGTCATATTTATCGCCGCGCCTGGGATGGAGCAGCTGAAGTCTTTGTACGATCTCGGGAGATCAACCGGTGCCAGCAATCGAAATCTAACGGTATTCTAAAGCTTGCGCCTATATTTTTATAAAAATCGTCTTTCCCTACGTCTTTTCTGTTAAATTTCTACGTCCTCTTTGAAGCTCCTCTTACCGACTATCATGTGATGCTAGCAATCTATTTGCGACAACTTGTTTATTTCGTCGTTTACTTCATTTTTATTCCCTCACTTTAGTTAATTCGTTGTATAAATTTGATGTTGGCTTTGCTAGTTCGACCGTCAGAGTTCCATCAGGTACAGCTCGAGAAGAGCCAGGACACTGGAGTCCCTCGCATCTTTATACGAGGTTTGTATCGCATGACTCGTATTGTTTGATTATGTTATTTTTTGCAGCATATATTCACACACCGTCCATAATTTGGAATGTTACAAAATTATTAGTAGCTATAGATTTAATTATATTTCGCACGATATTTCCCTACGTTTTGGTTCGTAGAATAGAACCCTTCAATGCTTAGTCACGGGAGCCACGAAAATGTCAACTTTCTCTTGGCAAGTTCGCGTCCTTACTAGTAAATCAAATATCTCTCTAAACACTTTTCTTTACCGTAAACAAGGAAATCAAGCTACGTTCGTGATCTCGTGCATTTCACACCGCTTTTATCATGAACTAATCATCGTACAAAGCATTATCTTAGAAAAAGAATATTTTTACACAATAAGACGTTGAAAGCAAAAGATTGATTGACGATTCATCTGACAGGAGGACGATTTGAAATCCACGTTGGAGGAATCCGCGGCTCTGCAGAGAGCCTACGAGAAGTACATCGACCAGGTGATCGTGAACGAGGACTTCGACAATACGTTCAGGCAGGTGATCGCAGCTTTGGATGCCTTAGCCACGGAGCATCAGTGGGTGCCGGTCAATTGGATCTACTAATTGATTCCTGAGCGCAGCTAACGATATCGGAGGACTCGATAATCAAAAGTCAGGCGCTGCAGAAGTTGTACGCGCGAATAAGAGAAAGATTTTTTATTACTGCCTACGTCACGTACGAAAAACTGCGAGATTACGTTGCGGGAAGTGGTATTCAGAATCAGACTCCGTTTGCCGCGCGGTTAAGAAAGCGCGAGGCACGTGTAATCAGAGTACAAAGAATGCTACGAATATCTCACGCCGCGTGAAGCGATGTCGAACGTTGTCGCGTGAAAGGCGCGATCGAGAATCTCATTATGATACCGTTTATGATTAAATACACCGTTTACGTTAGTTTGTTATAGATTTACAAACGACCCGTTCTGCGTACTAAATCTCATCGAACTTTATTTCGCATATATTTTACTATATATATAATATATATATCAAAATTATACAAAAAACCGCGAATTTTCAATCATTTATTTTTGACGAATCGACATAGCGGTAACGATATCAGAGAGTTATATTAAAAAACCGAAAGAGACGCTTTTTTACAACGAAGAAAGTCATATCGCATGTCTTACTGCCAATCTCAACAACGACTGTAGTAGCAACGGGTCGATTGATGTGTTAGACCGCTGTCCAGTTAATTTTAGCGTACTTTTAATTTAGTTAACGATAATTAATTAATTTAGTTAACCGCGTACGCACGTACGATCATTTAGCTATTTGAGTCCACCATACACCTTCCCCGTGAATTCTGTTTCGTGTCTCATTTTGCTGTTCGTACAACGCTAAGTAATATTCCTGGCATAGAGTGCCTTAATAACGCAAAGCCTACAAATTGATGCGAAGACCTTATGTCGACAGACTCGCCTTGCATTCGGGTTTTATGGAGAACAAGACTATAATAATGCCTTTTCTGACGTCCGACAGACAGTCGCGTGCACACATACACATCCATACGTATTCGAATTTTTCACCTTAACATACCTCTTCCGAAAAAAAAGATACATCCGAAAGGGTCGCTTTGTACAGATACGTAACGACTACGAACATACATCTGTATGTTAAATCGAGACACCTGTCCCGAAAAGCAACGTGACGCACGATGTGGAATAAAGTTTATCGAGCATTTGTTGCGAATTATAAATTGTACAACGAATAGATTATTATTTCAGCATTCCTCTGTCCTCGCCTCTTTTTCAGCGCTCCACAAAAGAACGTTCGTCGAACCATGTTACTAACGATAACTCTAAGGATTTAATATATTTTTTATCTTCATCTTATACGCTCTTTGTTCTTTTTTAATACGAACGACGCCATATCTGTAGATTTTCCGCATACATGTAAAAATTAAAATAAAAGTCTCAGGGGAATTAATCTCTTTTTACAAAGAATATCGTATTATTTAAAGGAATACGAAGAATTTATAACTAAAAATAAAAATGTCCTCTCGGTTCTTTGCTTATAAAGTCTAAATTTAGAAATTTTATTATAAAATTTACTAATTTGCGCCAATGAGTGACATTAAAGAAATAAAACGAATTGCTTGCGGCCGAAATAAAAAATAAAATAAATGGAGAAGAATCGCGAGAGGTTGGAGAATTTTTCCCAGCGCGGAAATAGCGGTTTTGAGATTACGAGGCCGGTTTGCTTGCACCATTCGCGCTCAGGTTCCTCTTCTCTTTCCGTCCGACGGGTGTGGATATACGTCCGTCTCGTTTGTGGGTGTAGCCGGAGTAACCGGACGGCGTGCGAGAACGGAGCGGACGGGGGCCTACCGGCCGCTCGGCCAATGGTAGCCTGCTGTCTGCCACGTTTCAAGGTGGCAGGGTGCTGGGTGGCTTGTCATGACACGTACGTGTCGTACGGGAAAATATCGGGCCGTCGTGTGGAGCGAACGCCGCGTACCGTCCCCACGCCGCCGTCGGGAAGATGCAGATGCTACGGCAGCTGGACGTGCACCCGAAGGTGCGCGAGGAGGCCGATATCCTCGTGAGGACCTTCAGCGGCGCCATCGGTAAACACAGTGTACCGTCCGTCGCCGGCGCGAGCGAGACCCGGAGAATCGCCCACGAGGACCGTCGACGAGTCGTTTACGTTCAGCCGCGCCAATTAGCGTTAATCCGGTGCGAGGTGACGCGACACCGGCGAGCGATTAACCTTGTAGAATTCTCTCCTGTTAACATGCCATTTAAAATTGTTAAATACTTTGTTGACTGAAACATTTCAATGGGTTGCAATGCAACGCTTTAATTTGCGTCCTGCGATACTCGATGCTCGTATAAATGTTCCTAGTTATCTCGTTTTGTTTTACCATGTGTCTCTTAGCGTTTGTGACAATTGTGACAAATATTGTTGTTTACACTTGGTCAGTAGTAAATAAAGCGCAGCTTGACGTACTCGAACCTCGTTACGATTGATAAGAATCGCCGATCTCACGTTACACCAGTGCAAATGACAAAATAATGCCTTTTCAGTTACAATCATTAGTACAATCATCATGGGCATACTGTTTTTGTCAGAAGTAAACTATTATCTTACACCAACTATGAGCGAGGAATTATTTGTAGATACATCCAGGGGTTCTAAACTGAGAATCAACTTGGATATAATAGTCCCAGCTATATCTTGCGATCGTAAGTACAACTTGTATCCATACGTAGGCGAAGAGAGAGGCGATGTAGTCTGTCATTTCAGTATTTTGCAGTTTTATCGATAGACGCCATGGACACGACGGGTGAGCAACATTTGCACATAGAGCACAATATTTTTAAAAGACGGTTAGACCTGGACGGCAAACCTATAGAGGATCCACAAAGAACAAGTAAGCGCAATGTCCCTTTCGATATACGCAACATCAGCTAGAAACGTCATGTAAAAAAAATGCTTTATTGTAGATATTACAGATGCAAAGGCTGTCAGTAAAACTACGGAGAAGGTAACGCAGGCTTTCCACAAATATCTTCTGACTGAAACGTCCGTTTGCAAATTAGTTACTATTGGCAATATTTTTACAGGCAGTAGAAATCGGTACGACCACAGAGGAGACCTGTGGAGATTGCTACGGAGCGGCCACGGACACTATGAAGTAAACACTTCACAGTGCTTCCTACTTGTTAAGTACGTGAAATTTATTTGAACACATTTACAAAAATTTTCTTTCGTCCGCAGATGTTGCAACACCTGCGAGGACGTGTGGGAGGCCTATAGACGCAAGAAGTGGGCCCCGCCGGATCCGGCTGACGTTAAACAGTGTCAGAATGACAAGTCCATGGAGAAACTCAAGCATGCCTTCACGCAAGGCTGTCAGATCTTCGGTTATATGGAAGTGAATAGAGTCGGCGGTAGTTTTCACATCGCGCCAGGCGCCAGTTTCTCGGTTAATCACGTTCATGGTAAACTAACGAGTTGCAGTTTGTTTGTTTTTTTTTTTTTTTCCTAATAATATTCCCTGTACTATGCTCTCACAAGCTCATTCTTTGACGCCACAGTGCACGACGTTCAACCTTACACTTCGTCCCACTTCAATATGACGCACAAGATTAGACACTTGAGTTTCGGGCTCAACATCTCGGGGAAAACAAATCCTATGGATGACACGACCGTAGTCGCCATGGAAGGTACGTTCATGCTCCTTAACGCTATTTTTATTAAAGACTTAGTGACTCGCGCTTACAATTGTACAACGGTTGCAACGAAAAAGATAGGCTGCGAGATACTCCGTGACGTAGCTCCGCCCATGCGCTAGCATCGTATCCCTGTTCCGATGGCCATGAACGTGCCGAATGTGCCACCGCCTTGAAGCATCACCTTGCCAACGCTGTTTAATAATTCCCTTCCTCTCAGTCCGTACCTGGCGATAAAAAATCTTGTAATCACACATATTCAAGTTGTCCAACGCATGTGTAGGTCTTTTCTATGCACGCGTAAAATACCTAAGGGCGGAAAATCCTCCGAAGAGCGCACCAGAGGCCATTCCCACGCAAAATCCGATTGTGAAGCCCAATTTCATTCTATCAAAGCAAGTCGGTCCTTGCTGGTAAGCTCCTCCAGGTACCACCGGCATCTTGCAGCCTGCAAAACAGTTGGAGTTCCAGTGTTTGTTCCCGCAAACTATTTTTTTTTTAATTTCTGATCTTAAATCACAACCTCTCCATTCTGGCGAGAGGAACTGAGTTCACCTCTCTTGAAAAGCTTTGAGCCTTCCATTAATGACAAATAGAAAAATTCTCCAAATTTTTAATAGAAATGTAAACGTTTTTATGGAGTTTAGTGACACACACACACATATGAGACTGATCGTGCGCGCACTTACTGTTAAAGTGTCCGTTACGTAATCCTGCGGCGCGAGCGGGCGATCGGGGGTGATTTAACTCCTACTTTTCAATTTTGGAACTTGGTCGCGATCCTGTGAAATCGCCCGGAACTTTTCAACGCATTGCTCTCGTATCACATTATCGGGAAGGCGCCATGATAGTTCCGCAACGTGAGCGAGAAGACGGCCGCGCCGTCTGCTATTTCCGTTTCGTCTGCATTTCGTCATTCGTGGCGGGAGATTTCAATTGCGCGTCGCTATGTACGAATTGTGTTTTTGAAAGAAACTTATAAGACAGATGGAATTTTCTCGGAGAGAAATTGAGAAACTTCAAATTTTACCAAACCATGTTTTACGAAATTTTATTTTCGTAAAACATGGAAAATCAGCGTATAATTGAGACTCGCTTTTGTCGATGAATTCGAGAACTTTTAAAACTTCTTCATTACGAAAATTAGGGATTTAAATCCGCGAGCGAATCCTCTTGCAAATCCCTCTCGTACTTTATCCACGTACATTTAATTACATGTTGAAGAGATACGTTTAAAATCCGAATCAAGCGTATCCAGGTTCTTCTATCGATATATACGATGCTGTTTTCTGCTTTCAGGCGCTATGATGTTTTATCATTACATCAAGATCGTCCCGACGACGTACGTCCGCGCGGACGGTTCGACCCTCCTCACAAATCAGTTCTCCGTGACGCGGCACTCGAAGCGGGTATCCCTGCTCACCGGCGAGTCCGGGATGCCCGGTATATTCTTCAGCTACGAGCTGAGCCCGCTCATGGTCAAGTACACGGAGAAAGCGAAGTCGTTCGGCCACTTCGCGACCAACACTTGCGCGATCATCGGCGGCGTGTTCACCGTGGCCGGTCTGATCGATTCGCTGCTCTATCATTCGGTGCGCGCGATACAGAGGAAGATAGAGTTAGGGAAGTACAATTAAACACTTTGGGCCCGGCAGCAATGATCACCACTGATCCTAACTCTGTCCCTCTCTCTCTCTCGCCAATATTTGTTTGCGTTAAAATCGTCCGTTTTATCTCCATAGATCCTTGTTAAACAAGGTGCTGAAAATGGATTGGGATTAGTGTTAATTGATGCGACACGGCCTTAGGCGAATAATTAAGTTACGATTGATTAAGAAAAAGCATTATTAGAAATACTCCATTTTCCATTGGAGATCGAATTTTTACGAAATGGACCTTTATCGCGTATTTGGGTACGACTATTTTCATCTTGCATTTATATTAAAAGTATCGCAAATGTATTAATTTTGCGATACTTTTGTTACAAGTGCAATTGGGAATACTTTACAGTATCGCCTTCGTGCGATGTAAAAAAAAAAACAAATTATACATAACTTATTATTAATATGAAGCGACGTATATGTTTTACTTCTTTTTTTATTTAATAGAGGATAATTGTGGTTTCAACGAATGCGATGTAAAGAAAAAACTTATTTATACGTGATGTACATAAAAATCAGCAAAATACACGAAAGCCTATTGAAATCTCACGGAAACGGGAATACCGCTACTAGAAATAATTCGGAAAACGAAAAATATTCTATCAACATTTATTTACATCTGCATTATAATTAAAACGTTTTGAGAAACGCATTGTAAACGTCGGTGGACGTCTGTGCGACGTCTCTACAGAAGTCCACGTCTGTACCGCTAATTAAGGCTCGTGGTGAAACGTACATTGGTTTAGAAGGATCGTACTGTGCCTTTTTCAATTCCACCAGGAACAAATGCCTCTGCTCGAGTCTGGTTTTCCTGCAAAGCAGAACGTGCGGCGTCTGCACGATAAAGTCATGTTGCAGCTGCATCTCGTTATGAGCGTATTCGAATGTACTTAGCAATTTCTCGCGATCTGAAAGCACAATTTAATAGACGTCAAGCACATTCGTCTTCGCAAATCCTAAAATTAATCGTTGCCATGCGCGTGCGTGCGCTTACTCTTGGTCCATATCTTGGGCAGCCTGAGAAGCAGTCTCTTCACTTGCGTCTGACCGAAGCCCATCTCCTCCTTGATGCTGAACGTGTTTTCCAGCAGATGCACCATCCTGTACGTCACCACCTTGGGCCCTTTGACCGTCAGGAATCTCACCTCCTTGCCGCGAAGCTTGAAGTTGCTCTGGAAATAGCCGAGCCTGTTGTCTATATCCTTCGTGCTGTACAAAAGCCAGTTGGGATTCTTGCAGATTATGGTCTGTATCATCGACTTGCTGTAATTGTGCGCCCTTAGGTATCTTATCCTCGTGTGCAGATCGTCCATGTCCTCCTTGAAGATATTGGGATTCTTGGTGATGAACTCGCCCAGGTAATCGGCGGGTACTCCGCAGTCGTGCAGGAACCTTATGTACGGCATCACGTCCCGCTCGAAGTCGAGGTTCAGGATGTACTGCACCATCCCCTCCTGCGCCTCGAACTTGTACAGAGCGACTCCGAGTTTCACCAGCTCCTGAATCGTGCGGGACTTGTTCGCGTACTTGGCAAAGGTGAAGGTCGGAGTGAGGGGCGCACCGATGTCCGACAGGTCTTCGGTGCACACGTCCAGAGGATGCGGCAGCTCTATTTCACGTTCATCAAGATAGTCCTCGCAAGCGGACGGAGTCGCGTTCATTTCGCTCGGGCTTAGGTTAGGTCGCGGTTTCAGCGCGTAAATTCCATCGTCGGCCTTCGTCCCTTCCGGCAAAACCCTCGGTTTGCAGGAGGCTGCCTCGAAGCCTCTCTCGAGTTCCTTCGACACGCATCGTCTCGGCACGTCGCCTCTCGAGACGTATCGCGCGATTAAATCCGTCGCGACCGGTCGTGCCGTCGACGCGAACGAACAACATCGTCGAAACATACTCGATACCCGTCACCGCATCGGCGTCAAGCAATTTAAGTCGAATCTCCCTCACGTACTTTTGTTAAAAAACATCTTTAACAATCTGTCATTCAACGAATAGCTCGCGGAATCTTGCAGTTTGCTTTGCTGCCGGTGCCGAAAATACATAAACCTGAGCGCGGCCATTTTTTTATCTAAACGCCTCCAGGATCGAACTACGTAGCCACGTTTGCGAATCTTTTCGGTGGGTAAAGAATTCTGATTCCGTTCGATAATACACAATCAATAATATTAATATTAATAAAGTAGCATAAGCCCACTTTAGACGATTTATAATTCACATCAGCAGAATATGCAGGAGAATATTTTATTCATGTGCGGTGTAGTATGAAAAAGAATCGAGGTCAGAACACGTACTTAGATAAAATATATATGTTAAACTACGTGTGTGTATTAATATATATCACATTATACATATATTTAAATAATAATATATTAAAATACATTCTCGTATTTAAAGCATGCGATATAAAAGTTAGAGACACGTCAGATTTCTATCCTCAGATCGTGTAAGGTGGGCTTTAAAAAATAATTTTAAAATTAAAGATATATCTATATATACATATAAAACATAATTATAATTAAAAATACGTGGGCGTTTTTGATTTACTGACTTAAGCCATGATGCTCGGTATAGCGACAGCAAATCCGAGAACGTGTCGCACGGATCATTTTTAATGATGCGCAGGAAAACATACAAAAAACGAATCCGTACGCACGCAAGTATGCATTTAATGAGATTTGCAATTCGCTGAGTCAGCGTCGCGGGACGAGCGGGAAAAACGGCAGAGGAGCGGGCGGGGACGCGTGCGTTTGTATGAACAAATACTCTTTATTATCTTAAAACGATTAAACGCGCGTAATATTAAATATAAAGGCGGCAAGGTAATGCGCTTTGATTTTACATCAATATACAATTCAGGGAATGACGCGACACACCACACCCCAGGGGGGAACATCTAGCATTCCTTCCTCAAAATCGCGAAGCACGATTCGCGGAAGGCCACATTTGCAAGACTCACGCAAAATTCGCTCACACATGCTTGTATACGCACAGCATACACACACACACACACACACACACGCGCGCGCGCGCATACACACACAAATATACAGGTGTGTATTAGGGTCCTTAATTAATGTGTTATATCTCTTTACAGCGGAGCTGTTACGATGAAAGTGACGTGTCTGCGCTATTTCATGTAATAAGTACGTTAATTACACATTAAGAACACTTTGATTCTCACGACCAGTATTTGAATATCAAAACAACGTAAATAAACTAGCGGAATGTTCCCCGTCGGACGACCTCGACCAAACTTCAATTAATTCGTTCGGCAATTAACATATCAAGCGCCTATGCAACTCAACGTGAATGGAATCATTAATTTTTTTTTATAATCATTATCCACGCTCAACGCAGAGATTAAATATTGAAGACGACGAATACAATTGAACATTTTTGCTGTGTTGGCAAATAACCGCCGATTAAGTTAACAATGTAATTATGGATATGACTACAATTTGGTCGAAGTCGGCCTTTAATGTTAAGACAAGGACAAACCGTGGCTTGTCGCATGTTACTCCTCCTGCGTAGTTATTGTTCGTAGCCCGGCCGATTATCTCTCATCAATCCAGTTTGCGTTTTGCGCATCAAGTGGTTTAATTTCGTAAAATCGTTGTGTGTAAAACGGCGCGCGATGTCGGGAGGTACGTTCTAAACGGAGAGTTGTTTGACTAGGCAACTCCGACGTGCGTTATCGTTCCGACTGCGCTAATATATTGTTGTATGTATTTTTTCCCCTCCCCTTTTTCCGTCGCGCAGGTCTCAGCGTGAAATATCAAACTAGTCTAATCGGCGTTTCGCGATAAAGGTCGGAACGCTTGTCGAATCGATGGCCAAGTGTACACAGCGCTCTATAAAATCTATCTGTAAGTCGACATAAGTATAATTCTAGCGATTCTCTCTTGTCCTTAAATAGCACGTAACATCTTCTCGTTCTACCGCGTGTCATGACTAGATCTCCGGATCTTCATTCGTGCTTCGGTCGAGCGGCCGTTCTCTCGTTCGTCGTCTCCCCGTTCGACTGACGATTTTTGGCCTGCTGCCGCAGCTGAGCCCGCTTCAGGCTCGTCATTAATTGACTGGATTGATAAAGCCAACTGGCCTGAAAGGTCAACGACGATCAACGCGCGTTCGAAGCCGGGTTGCTCTCGGAAGTTGCTATATACTTACCACCATGATCATGCAGTTTATTAAAATGGGAACGGAGAAAACGACGGATATGAACAGGCCTTGCGAATCGAAGTACTGCTGTCTAGAGAATACCCTGCGAAAGTTGTTAAAGGGGATTATATGAAAACGAACCGCAAAAGCTCGGAGAAGGGGAGCCGCTTTGATACGCCGCGGTCGCAGTTTAATACGTACATCCAGTTGGTCGCCGCAACCTCGTTAATACTTTCAGAGAAATAAACCAGGAGCACTGAAACAGAGACAGCTCGTGGTAACGGTTACGGAAAAACTGGGCGAAATCCGTGGTAATTATCAGCAGATTCTTACGGAGCACGAGGAACAGGATTATCTGAAAATTCGCGTGGTTCCTTGTCATTAACGCGGTCATCGTGATGGCAACGTGAAAAGTCAATAGCGCGGCTAGCCATGGATCCCTCCAATCGATCTGCAACAGTACATTCATACGAAACACATTAATATTCTTTAAGTACTCCAGAGCGAATGAAACTGATATCGCTAAACCTAATCTTTAAATGAAAAAACTTCAATGTGTTATCTTATGGGCCGATATCACAGTCTCCGATTAACGTGATCCTCCGATTAAACTCACTCTTCGTCTCTTTCTAGGGAAACAGCTTAGAAAGAGATGCAGAGTGAGTTTAATCGGAGGATCACGTTAATCGGAGACTGTGATATCGGCCCTATCTCTCTCACACACAAAGTATCTTTTTACAGCTCTTAACAGAGCCGCGCGTAAAAAGAAGCGTAACACATGTTTCTCCCTCTCCCTATCCCCCGACCCCTTTCTCTATCAATTTAGCGATTTATTTACTTGAACAAGTAAAGGCCATTGCACGTAACAAAGTTTTAGTCATAATCGTAAGGTTGTAATAAAATAGACGAATCACAGTCGATTATTCTCCTCGCGCTTGAAGAATAATCAAGTGTGATTGGTCTATTTTCTTACGGCTTTACGATTAAAACTAAAACTTTGTTACGTGCAATGGCCTTAAGTGGACGGTAATCTCCTTACAACGAGAGGAATGAAGAAATTCGAAAGCGGGACACGCGATAACCGTTTAAAAATATCCAGCGAGATTCTGGAGACCGAATTACGTGTATAACGCGTTGCGTTTTCGTGGAGGGGGAGGGGGGGGCCACGTATCTCGGCAACGGGACGCCCTTGAACGAATACGACGACGAAAATAGAGCGCCAATATAATCGGCGATTTTTCGCCGCCGACGCCGACGCCGCCGCCTCTTCGTCCAGGACGATAAGAGGGTCGCGGCATCGCCGGAGCCAGTAGCCGGTATTGAATTCCATTCTTGCCTCCCGTCTGCTCCCGTCTGATACGCGTCTCGTCGCGCACGCGACACCGGCGGCGCAGCGATAAGATAAGGGATCTGCGCCTCTTCTGCGGAATAGATCTCGGCGTTCAGAGCTCGGCGTAAACAGCGCGTGGCGCGCCGTCGAAAACGAAAGTTGCCGGAGCGGCGAATGTAAATCGCCGGCCACAGGAATCTGGAACGCGAGGATGTAGCAACTGATAGTGGAGCGATGCGCAGAAAATATGCAGAATTACGCGTGAATGACACACGCGAGGAATGTACTCGCTTAATTGAAATGCACATACGAATTTATAACGAGACTATCGCGTATGGCGCTCGTAATGACTTTAAAATGGAAATGACGTGATACGGAACGGAAAGGAGTGGATTTTCATGATTGACCGCACATAAATTTCCATTTTAAGTCCACGCAAACACGCGTACGTTTCCATATAGCGTGAACCGTATAATTTTCACGCTCGTCATCCGCGCTATATTCACGCGCATTTTTACGTGCGCGCGACGGTTTCCCTTTCTCGAGCATCGTAAAAGCTGGAAAAAATTGCGGCAGGTCCGGTTTTTAAATCGGCTCCTTCCGTGTCTCCTTCCTGCCTTTTAAACTTCTACTCTTGTCTTTCAGTCGTCGAGAGACGCGCGACGTCCGCGGGTTCTTTCCAATCCTCGTAACTCGCCTCTCTTCGTGTCTTTTCTTCGTTCTCTCCGAATTTAGCGGCGTTTTATTTCAATCGAGAAAGCACAACGTGGAGCCTGCGGCAAGAAGAGACAAGGCCTTGTAAAAGTGTCCCGATGCGGCGTTATCTCTCCGCATCACGCGCGTGATCTCGATCATCGAGATACAAGTACGAACGAGCGCATGCGGAAAATTATCTCGAGAGGAAGGACGACACGATCTCGTACATTTTGACAGTAATAAACGTCAAGGGGAGAATCACCGCGAAACGGAGAACGCGCAATTAACCGTGACATCATTCGGCGTGTCGCGCCGCTGCTTTCTGGAACGCGACTCCGGTTTCTCCGTCACACGATCGAAGGAATCGAAAAGATCAAGGACGACGCAAAAATTCGGGATTCCAATTACGCGGTCAGCTGGCATTGCCGAGACGCCGCCCGTTCGAAGATTCGAGAACGTGGAAAGAGGAGACGTGGGAAAGAAAGAAAAAAAGAAAGAAAAAAAAACGAGTTAAACGGGGGACTCCGGGGACCGCCGCCGACGGGAAGCGACGACAGCGGAGAAGGACGGGAAGGAGAGGGGAAAAAGGTGAAAAAGGAGGAGGGTAGCGCGAAGGAGAGTGTAAACGGATACGAACGGACGGGTTGAGACTCACGCTCTGCAGGAAGGGCCAGATGCCGTCGATGCTGTCCGTGGCGGTGAACAGGCTGTGAAACGGCTCGTCGCTCGACATCGTGTGCCTCTCGCGGCGCGCGACGGCGACGGGAGCTGCGACGTGCTGCGGGGACGGTGACGGTGACAGCGGTGACGGCGACGGCGACGACGACGACTGGCGGGCGCCGGGAGAGCAGGCGGTGGCAGAGAGGAAGGCGAGCGCATCCGCGCGACGAGGATATCCCAAAACACACGCGCGCACCCGTTCTCGCGGCCACTGCACCGGCGGCGCGACTCGCGAGTCTCGCGACTGACAGTCCGACAGACTGGACTGACCACTGACCGACGGGAACGACGACGCGACGGCGGCCCGCGACGGGAGCGACTAATTGACCGGACCGAACCGAGCCGATACGAGCGACGGGATACGGGATTGCCTTCGCCTGCGCCGCTGCGCGAACGGAGCGAAGTTGGCGGTGGAGCGGTGGAGCGGAGCGCGCGGCGCGAGATAACGCCGGTCAATGCGCGCGAGCGCGCGACCGCTCGAACGGAGCAGGGAGGAGGGGCGGACGTTAAAGGCATGTTCACAGTATTTGCGCATGATCGGCCAATCGCGCGTTCGATGGGTTTGTTTGTTTTTGTTCGTGTTCTTTCGGATGAAAATTACTAATTATAGGCCAATTCCTTTTATAGTGACACAAGTCGACACAAGTATCGTTCTGTCTTTGTTATTCATTGAATGCCAAGAAGGATAGAATGATGTTTGTGTCGACTTGTGTCACTAAAAGGAATTGGTCCTATCATAGGTTATATCATCAATTACAAGTGCATATCATGCAATTGTAAATTGCAATTAAAATGAATTTAAATGTAATGTTCTCTTTACTTTATGATTTATGGAAGATGTTTGCAGACGGCGCTGCGATTTAAAAACAGCTGATTACTGATTTGCGCCGCTCTATGATCGAGCGCACTCGTCGGCGAACGTTCCACGTGATTGGCCGGTTTCCCCGCACGTGCATCGTTGTCAATTGTTGTGTAAACATCCTCAGAAATGGCAAGTAAAACGAAAATTATTAATCTGACTCGGATGTCGAGGATATTTCAACCCCTGGCAACGAGCGGATCGCTCGATAGCGTAGAAAAGACAGAAATTGCATCGAAAGGTCATAAGGTGTGTGCAAGGTACTTTCTTAAAACATTAATTAAAAATATTTTGAGAATACTTTCAAATAGATAAATGAATTCTTTGGGCAAAGTGTTTATTGCACTGTGCTTTTTAATCGTTGAAAATCACTTGCTTGATGTAATAATGTTTAGAAATTGTAATGTTAAGACGATGTGTTTCCTAAATTTACAATTAAAAACTAATAGTTCCTTTGAACAAATTATGTCTAGGTTCGAATATTCATTTAATTTTTATATGTTCCATAAAAATTCCCGAATTAAACAACTGATTTTCCTTCGACTTGAATAAGGCTTCATCTTTAATCTTTTTAATTGTTTCAGTTAATGATCAATTATGGAATTATTAAACCAGTTAGCATTGGCATGTACGCCCTACTGCCGTTAGGAGTGCGAATTTTAAATAAGTTAATCGAACTGGTCGACAAAGAAATGGCAAATATCGGCGCGGAAAAAATACTACTTCCAGCGTTGACTCCCGCTGCCCTGTGGAAGAAAACCGACAGATTAGACTCCAATAAAACCGAGTTGTTTACAGTTACAGATAGACACAAGAAGATGTATATATTGAGCCCAGTAAGTAAGAAATATATATACTGTATTTTCCTATTAAGTTTTATTTTAGATAAAATTTTGGGTCCGAGTTTCTCGGAAGAGAAATTGAAAAATTTATTTCTGGAATAGAAAAGCCAATGACACATTTCAATTAACAAGAATTTTTTCTAAACTAATAAGATAAATCTTTTGACTAAAAATGTGTAATATGTTTATATATCTTCTATTTCGACTGAAAATATATAAATGCTAATTTTATTAATATAGAAGTGTGCTTTTGGATAAACTTGTTTTGTTATAGACATACGAAGAAACAATCTGTGATTTGGTGTCATCCGTAGGACAGCTCTCTACTAAATCATTACCGTTGAAGTTATATCAAATTTCGAGTAAATGGCGAGACGAAATGAAACCACGGCTTGGTCTCCTACGTAGCCGAGAATTTATCATGAAAGATTTATACACGTTCGATACTAACTTGGACAACGCACGACATACGTATGATTTAGTCTGCGAGTCTTATAATAAAATTTTTAGGCAGATTGGTATAAAGTACACAAAAAGTAATTAACATTTCTAATTATATACTAGAATCTGCGTATTCATAGACGCATAGTTGTAACATTGGAAAGGCCTTAGATAATGATTTAATGATAAATGTTAAAAAAGGCATAGGTGATGTGGGAGCAATCGGAGGCCTGATGTCACACGAATATCATTATATATCTGATATTGGTGAAGACACGATACTTCAGTGTCCCTCGTGCAATTTCTCGATTAATCAGAGTATTTCCGAAACGACGAGTTGTCCGGAATGTAAAAATGAACTGCATCAACATATTGCTGCTGAGGTAATATAGGAATTTCTAAGAAAAAAAATACTTGATAGCTAATGTTATAAAAAGGATGTACTACATTGCGTAAACGGTAATCGCAGGTAGGGCATACATTTTTGTTAGACACAAAGTATTCGCAGCCGTTAAAAGCGATGTACGTGGAGCAGAATAAATTGAAACCTATGGTAATGGGCTGTTTCGGTCTCGGATTAAGTCGTATCATTACGTTAGCTGCCGAAATCTTGTCGACGAATAACGAAATTAGGTGGCCTATAAAGTTAGCACCGTATACAGTATGCATCATACCACCAAAGGTAGTAAAGGATTAAATATGACTTTATCTCTATTAAAGAATATTCCTTATTATATACTGAATTGGGACCCGTAGGCTGGAAGTAAAGAAGAGGATACATCTGTCTATGTCGAGCAGCTGTCTGAGATACTTTATAAACGAGATATTGATGCGATATTGGACGATCGCACGCATCACACCATCGGCAAACGTCTGATCTTCGCACGTGCATTGGGCTACCCTTACATAATTGTCATTGGCAAAGCGGCAACCCAATCGGTTCCTTTATTCGAAATCCACGAGGTGGACAGTTCAACTTATCGTGAATTATCATTGGATCAAATAAGTGATTATTTTGATAATATAGATGTTAAAAATTAGAAAAAGATACGGACGTGTACAGTATATATTTAAGAAATAAAATTAAAGTACCAATAAATGTTGTATTTTTATGCACATTATATATCTTTACAATGTGTAACTGTACATTTTTATGAATAATATCGATTTCTTGTTGTTCATATGATAGTCTTCATATTATTCATACACATACGGTATGTTCTAGAAATTGTTTTAACGAAATATTTTAATTAAAGAATTATATAGAATAACAAAAAAGTATTAAGAATGATAAACAATCTTCGAACATATCTCCATGAATATACATTTGACTTTTGATTAATTTATAAGAAAAACTGGCTGGGAATACGTAAGAAAAGATACAATAACCACACAATGTTGAAAATATATTGCAATATATACGTTTTTACATTATGAAATATTTGAAAGCTCTTCTAGTATAGTTTGCGTATCTAAAGTATTAAGATCTATCGAAGCCCGTGTATCCACTATCACTCCAGTCACCTGAAAATAACAAACGGTTAAAATATCACTTACAGAATTTTGATATAAGACGAAACAAGTATATATAAATTAATGTATTTTATTTTATTACCATTTCCTCAAAAAACGCAGTATGATTAGGCTTTTCCGAGTATCTCTCGTATTGATCCAGATTATCCTGCAGTTTTAAAGCGAGACTGTCATAATTCTGTATTATAATAGCTAGAATTTGTTGTTCCGTTGGTGTCGACAAGCTTTCCTTCGCCAGCCACGCAGCTATCTTCGGTGGAAAATGATTTACTATATCCCTCACGTTGACGAGAGAATTCGTTAATTTGAGCGCGTGTTCTTTGTACTCGTACGTTTCACTAGTCGAATACCTGAGTGCTAAAACATTTCCAGATATACTCGTTATAAAATATTTGCTACTCGTACTATTTATTATTTTGCTGAAAGCACTAAAATTCTTACATCATTAACAGCTACTTACCCATGGCATTTAGATTGGTGAAGATAAGTCTCATACGGATAATTTCGTAAAATAATTCATCATAACTATTGGGTGACGATAGGAATGTATCAGCGTACGTAATAAAGAAATTTAAAACGTTCACCACCTGTTGTCAAAAGTAATCAAAGTATTATCTTGTTCGATCGTATGACAATGCAATTTCTCAAACGTCTCATTACCTGAATAGCTAAAGGAAATATGTTCATTTTTTTAATAAGATGACTTTCGTGCGTTGTTAAAAATTTAAGTAAGTTAATTAGCGCGGTCCAAAGATCCCGCCACTGATAACCAAGCCTGACACGGCACCTCTTCTGATAGCACAGCAGTCTTTGTAAAACGCCGATACATTGATGATATAACTCAAGCGGAAATTTCTTCATCATATGTGATGTTATGAACTCGACAAGCAGATCTATAACAAAACGATATAGATCACAATCATTTTAAGTAACATAATGAAAAACGAGCATTTAAAAAACGTTCTTTAATTTATTATAACTCGTCTCGAAATTTATACAACTATTTACATTTGATAAGCAATACTTTATAAGCTGTAAGCTGCAAATTCTTCGACACTAGTGGAACTCTGTCCTTATTTGGTTTCTATTATATTTCGAGAGAACATAAGAAACACGAACTCCTAAAACATATATTGAAAAGATACCGAGTAAAGTAGCTGCAAGCGGTTGAGCCGGCGCTGCCTTATCCTGCAATTTCCTATGATGCATAGGTACTCTATGTAGCTGAACTCTAAATGCCAGATTCGCATCGTGCATTAAACTGTTTGCATATTGGTCCTCCGCAATGCAGCTTAGTATCAAGAAGCACAGCTTCACATTATTCATTATAGCCTCCGTTCGAATTACTTGCATAACTATCGAACTGTAATGCAAATGCAGATATCTCACAATTCTTAAGCAGCGAATTATTAATAATTTTCTAATAATTTATATTAATTCTACTAACTAATTTATATTATATTCTCACCAATACTGCAGGAAGGTTGCTAGTAAGTTGAACGGCTGAGCCATCACGTCAGGTGGTGAAGCACCAGGAGCTACCGCGTTCGGGCCCAGGGTATTATTCGGCGATGGAGGTGCACTAGTATCAGTTTGCGTATAGGCCAAAGTAGTTACAAAATTACGATTTAAATGTGTAGCCTCGTATAAAGCTAAAAGTAAAGCATTATTTGCGCGAACTTGTTGGGTTTTCGCTTCTTCCTCTCCGACAAACATGCTGCCAACTATACTAGTTAATGAAGACAGCCAAGATGCTTGTATTTCTGAAAATATATCGCATTATTATTACACTGAATGTTTACGTTAAATATTGATTATCTAAACAGTTATATTACTACAATATACTATTATTGCAGTCACAATACCCGCTCTTTGTTGAGCAAATTGCCGGCAAAATTCCGTCAATGAACTCGATATAGCTTGTCCATATCCATTGAGAGCTAATTCATCATCCAAAATTGATAACTTGACGATATAGGGATTTGCACTTTCGTATTTCCGATAGTTGACTAAAAGCGTTAACAGTAAAACTGCATCATGACCGTGACGATTTCTAGCAGCTGTATCTCTCAATAACTACACAAAATAATATAAGCAATTTATTAATACGCGTAAGATCGAACTTTATTCAGAATTTTATTTAGAATTTTTCATGAAAATAAAAAATTACTATTTATAAATGTCTAACATACTTGAATTAGCGATTCAAAAACACTGTTTAACATCACATATTCCAGTAAAGTATTTTGGCTGATATTATCCATACCGGTAACTATTATTAATAACAATTTCAGGCACAAAGCTTTCAAACTATCCGGATATTCACCTAAAAAACATGTATTCTGCTCTTTCAGTACTGTTATTAATTTTTTTTAAATATATTTATAATAAATAAGAAGCTTGAGATGTGAATGTTCCAAAAACAATAAAGATATATACACACACATTATTAAATTGTTACCTATATATTACCTGTTAAAAAATTATTACAATGCTGCATTAACGTAGTCATCCTTTGCTCCGCAGAATCGAAGCCTACTAGAATATCTATCAAATTAAATCCATAGTCTCCCTGGTTGGCTTTTTTATACATGGATTGGATGACGGCTGCTAAAGTTTGCAGCGCGTACACTATTCTAAATGGATGTTCATCGACTAACGTGTCAACACAGTGGCACACCAATGCGTTCAAATTTTCTTTGCTGGCATTTAGCTGTTCCGATGTCATATGTAGAATTTCATTTTCGATGTGAGGTACCTGCAACATATATTGCATGAAATAAATATATTTATCTTCAATAAGTCGGAAAATGGCAAAAACAGTCCCAGGATACGTACCATAGGTTTAATGAGGAACAATTCATTCCAGAAATTTGGATGAGCTAGCGTCAGGTCTTCGCCCTTAAAGAAACTCTCATAGATCGGTACTAGCTTGCATTTGTGTTGACGTTTGGCACCGGAGCCGCTCCTTTTTCTCATAGCCATTGGTACAGATGGTACAGAGTAAACTATTTTCCTCTGTTCATATTCAAACTCTAGAAACATGTTGGTATATAAGTTCTTTCATAACAATACGCACGTGT